CCAAGGCTGGGTGAGAACTTGGCAGAGATAAACAGATTTCCTCATTCTCCTCTGAGGTCCTGTCTTACCTGAGACACTAAGAATTTTGTAACAAAATTGTACTCAAATACTTTCATGCCTCCAAGCTTCAAATCTCCCAAGGGCTACTGGCTCCCCAGGGCCCAGGTGCTGGCTCTCCCTCTCCTTAACCCCTGCCCAGGGCTGGGCACACAGGGGGTCAATGAGTGGGTCCCCCGAGTGCCACCCTGAGGGGAGGAAACCCTGGCCCAGGCCTCCCTGCCCTTCGCAGGGCCTGGCTCTTTCTGCCTGGGCCCAGGGGATCTGCAGAGCCAGCGCCAGGCACCAGATTGGGCAGGAGCTGAAGACTGACAAGTTCTCTCCTGAAAGATGGGACACAAGAGGGGAGCCTGCTTTGCAGCTTCTCCCATGGCCCTGTGCTGCCCCTCCCCTATCATAAACACCTCCAAGTGCGCAGCTGTGTGTCCCAGGCACGGATTAAATAACTTGTTGCCTCAAACGTGGGGCCACCCCACTGCTTGGGGGTCACAGGCTGGCCCTCTGGGTTTTCCAAGCTGTACCCCAGGGCGCAGTCCTGGGCTGAGGTTCAGCCCATGGTTGTTCTCCCCTGGCTTCGGGGGCCCGGACCCTTCCCTGACCTCCAGCTTGATGTGAACTCACATCAAGGTGATATGACCTTTGCCAGCCCCTCTGTGGAGGGTGCTCTGACCAGTTCCTCCATCTCAGGTTTCATCTATTTCAGGGCCCCGCGCAGCCGGGCACACTGATGGGATGGTTATTTTGGAGCTTGCTGGTGGCCTGCAGCTGCTCCTGACCCCGAGGGGTGGAGGGGATGGGAGAGAAGACATACTTGGGCTGGGCACTGGCCCCAGAGATTCCAGTTTTAGCTGTTTTCCAGCATCTCCTGTACCTCCTCTCCTAACTCCTGTGATATTTCAACAAAGGCCAAAAGGATCTCTTTCCTACCCCTTCCCCTCTCTCTCTCTTTGTCCACTGTTTCTCCTTCTTTCTCTTCTTTCAGCTCTAATCACCATTTGTAGCTTCTCCTTCCTGGTCTTTAGTCAGTAATGTCATTCAATGATTTTGTCCTGGGTGCTTATCATGACTGATGGAAAGTCCTAGGTTCAAAAAGTTAGTTGTCTGAGTGCAGGTGGACCTGACTTTGGTTGATAAACTCAGCCTGAGCAAATGGTAATAACTGAAGTTATCAAGTATCCAGGTGCCAGGGGCTTCTCAATCTACCTCTGATCCCTGCGACAACATCGCAAAGCAGGTACCCCTGTTCTCATGGTGAGTGATGGGGGGCTGGAGGACAGTTGCTTACCCACAGGCCACCAGCCAAGTGCTGGATCAGACATTTAAACCCAAAGCCCATGCATATTCTTCTGAACCATGTAGCATGAAAACAATAACAATGGCTCATATTAACCCTGTGATTATTATGTGCCAGGTACTCTACTAGGTGCCCTAGGTACTGTATTCCACCTCGTCTTCTCAGCATCCCTTCCGAGGGGAGTATTAGAGTCCATATTTTATACCAATAAGTAAATGCTGATTTCACTGCTGAAGAAGAGAGTCCCAGAGGGGTTAAGCTATTTGCCCAAGGTCATACGGCCAGGAAATGGCAGAGCTAGGATTTGAACCAGAGCTGATGGCTTCAGAGTCCTTGCACTTAACTATGCTCCTGTCTTGCCTACCAGTATATGGATTTTGTTAACCAAAAATACTTTTAGGTTGCATTATTAGAAGTATAGTGTACTTATCAGGGGAGGTGTGATGGCCACATTGTGCCTTGAGCTGGTCAGGACACATCTGGAATACTGAGCCTGGCTGTGTTCATTGTCTTAAGAGGTGGGAAGGTGTGTGGGGAGTCTGAGTATTCCGTGAGGAAAGTGGTCCTCAGTGTGGGGCTGAGAGGCAGCCCCAGGGGTAGTAGGTATAAATACAGGGAGGTTATGACTGAGTGAGCCCTAGAAAGTAAACTGTAAAAAGAGCAACACACGATAGGTGTGTGTTTATATGTACAGATTTGTGTGGAGTGATCGTTTTATTTAGGTTGATACGCAGGCTACTCATTTTCATTATCTAGCAATTTTGTATAAAAATAGCAAGTAACTTGTAAACACTGCCAGAATATTTTCTAGCTGGTTTGTAATTTTCTAAGAGTTATTTTCTTTGTGTTTGTTGTCGTGGTGGCAGTTCTTGTGTTGATTTTTATAAGTGTAGATCTGTAAATTCAATTGTCGTATTTAAAGCTTCAGCATGACACCTTGTGTGTATGAGAGGAGGGATTTGAAGGAAGATGCCTTGAAGAGTGAGTTGGGTGGCAGTTGTCAGTTGTGGGAATTTCTGATTTTGTCCTCTGATTTTGTCAAAAGGAAGTATTTCTCCCAAAATTGGGAGTAGGCAAACTACCAATCAGTTAAATTTTGTGTGTATGCTAGTTTAAAAAAGATAATAGGTGGGCCTCCCTGGTGGCGCGGTGGTTGGGAGTCCGCCTGCCGATGCAGGGGATACGGGTTCGTGCCTCGGTCCGGGAGGATCCCACATGCCGCAGAGCCATGGCCGCTGAGCTTGCGCGTCCGGCAAGGGGAGAGGCCACGACAGTGGGAGGCCCACGTATTGCAAAAAAAAAAAAAAAAAAAAAAAAGCTTTTATGGTAGATTTTGTAAATTTGTTACAGGGTAACCTGTTTTCTAGCTGTGATCTTACCACTTCAAATGGGTGTAATTTGAATAAATTTTGTATGGTAAAGAATCAATAAAATGACTTTTTTAAGAGTTCAAAAAAAAAAAATACAGGGAGGTAGATTTCAGTTTAAGAGTAGGAAACATTTTCCTAAAGACAGAGTAGCTCAGCAGTGGCACTGCTGGGAGGTAGTGGGTATATCCAAGCAGAAGGGGACTCCTGAAGGGGCAGAGAGCAGGAGAGAGCTCACATTCCAGGCCCATTCAGGAATCTGTTCTGAGCGTCTGCCCAGCTCCATGGGCTCTGGCCTGATTGTCCTGAGCGTGTGGGGTGGGCTGGAGAGAGGAGTGTGGGGGGGGGCCCCATGACAGCGTTGTTCCCATAGGCCCGGCTGGGCATCTCTGAGCCACTTGTTTCCTCCTCACCCTGTTTCCCCATCCCTTCTCCTCTCTGTCCCCAACCCTCTGGACTCCTCAAGGGCCGCTGCCTGGAATCCCTAAGGGGTAGGGGAGCAGGGGCTGTTTCCTGGGGTCCAGGTCAGCCCGCAGCCCTCCACTATTGTCTCGCATGTCTTGCCCTCCTCGCCTCTGCCTCTCCGCAGCCCCCCAGCTTCTCTGCACCATTACTGTCACAGAGTCAATTCCCTGGAATAATCACATTTTCCGGTCGGCTCCCTCCTCCTTGCCAAACGCGATGCTGGGAATCCTGACCAGCCAGGCCCCAAGAGGCTTCTCCAGAGAAGCAGGAGCCTTGGGGGGAGGGCCGGCCCAGCACCCTCTCCTTGCTGGGTTCCAAACAACACTGTTCCTGGAAAGGGCAGGGGAGTTGGGGGAGAACAAAGAGAGAGAGGCTTTAGAGAGCGTCTCTAGATTCAGCTGGAGCTGAGTTCTGGCCTCTGAGGCCCCTACCAGTCCAGTCCCCCAAGCTTTGCTCTCACACCAAGCACTCCAGCAGCTTTTACTCAGTTCCTGGAGAGAAAGCACAGATTATCCCTGGGGGAGGCTCAGAGAAAAGACTCCTGAGAAGGGATTGGCTCATGGTGTGAGCTGCGGTGGTACTAGCCAAATTTAGGGACTCCCACAGAAAGGGTTCAGTAAACGAGGAGGGCCCGAAAGTGGAGAATGTGGCGTTGGGAGTTGGACAGATCTTGCTTTAATCCTGGATCTGCCACTCCGTGGCTGTTACATAACATCTCCGAGCTTTATCTGTACAATGGAAACAACTTCATGTGATGCCTTAAGGGTGAAATGCAGGGGTAATTCATTGTAACTGATGACTTTTATTACAAATTATAGGACTCCATAAAGCAGAGATAACCAGCCATTAAAAAAGTATGGTTATTAGTGTAGAAAGGTATTCAGGACACAGTAAATGGAAAAGCTAGTTTTGAAAAGAAAATTTGTATAGCAGAGTTCTTCACCTGGAGTCGATGCCCTGAAATTATCCATGGAATTTAGGGAGAACGTGCATTTTTCTGAGAAGATAGATAAAAGTTGCCACATTTTCAAAGAGATTTAGAGTTAGTTTAAAACTACTGGCATTTATATAGCATGATTCAATTTTTGTTTTAAAAAAAGAAATAACTAAAATATATTGAAAAAAGGCTGGAAACTCATACATCCAAATATTAGTAGTATTTTCCTATGGATGGTGGGCTGACAGGAGGTTTCTTTTTCTTTTTGATGAACTGTCTTTTCTACAAAATACAGTCTGTATTGCTTGTATGAGTAAAAAGAGAAAGGGTTTGATTTCCAGTTGTCAGTTTTGAAAGGATAGCTCGGATAAATTCACTTAACTTCTCAGCCTCAATGTCCTTCCGTGGCAGTAACTTCACAAGGTAATTGTTGGGGTAAGAACGTCTCTTTGCCACTTGTGCAGAGAGGCGTTCTAGGGAGCGGGGGTTCTCTCTGGCCTCCCAGACGGGTAGGATGTCAACATGCATTCAACAATTATTTACTGATGCCTTCTAAGTGCTGGGTGCTCTTTTGGCTGCTGGGATAAAAAGGGAGGGCCCCAGGAGTTAGAAAGAAAAATCCAATTTTAATAAGCATACTATTTAGAAGTAATCATGTTTTTAGTTTTGGTGTCCTTCCTGCCGGCCTTGATCCTTTGCTTAAACAAATACGTAGTTAGAAGTCCTGCACAACGTTATGTCCTAGCATTTTCTGTGCCATTAGAAACCCGGTGCGTCTTACTGGTGCGCGCTTTAAAGACCAGTGGGAGGAGGTGCGCAGGCAATGGGGACTGGGCGCTGGGGCCCGCGTGATGGTCACCCTGTCTCCCTCTCGCCGCAGACAGCGAGCTGGTGCTACCGGACTGCCTGCGGCCGCGCTCCTTCACCACCCTGCGGCGGCCGTCGCTGCGACGTGAGGCCGAGGAAGCGCGCCTCTCCGTGAGCCTGTGCGACCTCAACGTGCCGGGCGCCGACGGCGACGAGACCGCGCCGGCCGCTGGCTGCCCCATCCCGCAGAACTCGCTCAACTCCCAGCACAGCCACGCTCTGCCAGCGCAGCTCGACGGCGACCTGCGCTTCCACGCGCTGCGCGCCGGCGCACACGTCCGCATCTTGGACGAGCAGACGGTGGCGCGCCTGGAGCACGGGCGCGACGAGCGCGCGCTCGTCTTCACCAGCCGGCCCGTGCGCGTGGCCGAGACCATCTTCGTCAAGATCACGCGTTCGGGCGGCGCACGGCCTGGCGCGCTCTCCTTCGGCGTCACCACGTGCGACCCTGGCACGCTGCGGCCAGCCGACCTGCCTTTCAGCCCCGAGGCACTGGTGGACCGTAAGGAGTTCTGGGCCGTGTGCCGCGTGCCCGGGCCCCTGCACAGCGGCGACATCCTGGGCCTGGTGGTCAACCCCGACGGTGAGCTGCAGCTCAGCCACAATGGCTCCGCGGCGGGCGTGCAGCTGTGCGTGGACGCCTCGCAGCCACTCTGGATGCTCTTCGGCCTGCACGGGGCCATCACGCAGATCCGCATCCTCGGTGAGTGCCCCCGGCCACGTGCCCGCCTCCCCCCAGGTGCACCTGGAGGTTGGCGCCTCCAGACCCAGCCTTCCCTGGAGGAGGGGCGTGTCTGGGGAGGGGGAAA